CCCCAAAACCCCAAAACCCCAAAACCCCATTGATAAATATTTCAAGCAAATTTCAAAGAATGTATGTATCAAATATTGATGAATTTAGTTGGGTTATATCTTATTAATAATATTAATTCGATTTGTCTCAACTCCAGTTAATAAATGGATAATCTCTAATAAGCTAAATGGTCTCTAAGCATTTATGATGCAATGATACAGAAACTGCAGTAGGACAAGGCTCTAGCACTTAGGAAATTCTCGGAATTTGACGATTTGGAGAGATAACTCTACATAGAAAACGATTTGCAGAGTTTTTATGATGCATTCATCTCTCAGATAGGAATGAATAGATTTGTAAAGCATCTTAGATAAAACCACTCTAGACTAGTTGATTTACTCATAAAGCAATAAGGGCTTAAGCCAAATTTCTTAGAATACCAGTCTTAGTTAACTAGTAACTCATTTTTGCAAAGCTAAATAACAGCAATGGAACCTACTATAATCGCTGAGATAACTGATTATTATAAGGAGAAGTAACTAAGCTATACCAAACTGGGGCTCGAGTACAGTAGTGTAATTAGAGTAAACGAACGGGTTTTGGTAAGAGGACTCAACTTGATTGTATACTCAGACAACTGTCAACAAGTTATAAATGATATTTAACTCAAGAGTTCTTCTTATTGCTGCTATTCTAAGGATACCTCACTCTATATCGGTTATGCTGATGAAATTCAAGTTTTAGATAGCAATACACTTGGAATAAAGTAAAGCATAAAAACTGCATCAAGTGTTAATAAACTGATTCCCACTTTCCAAAAGCCATAGTAAAATTAGCTGTCAGAATTGGCTAGTTCTAAGTCTAATCGAAGTGACTTCCTACTGTGTATACAGAACATGGGCTTTATACAGCTGATAAATGCCAGATACAATGATGTGCATTATACGAAGAAGCTACTATTAGGGAAGGCTTCAATAAATGATATCTGCCACGTCACTAGCCATCTCTTACTAGATGGAGAAGATCATCTGCATTTAGGAAATCTGCCTTAATATGCTCTGGCTACTTCAATGGGGCTTTTCTTTGGTGAGTTCACAGAGTTCAATGAGAGTTTACGCTCTTACGAGTTTTAAGAAAACTAGGATGAAAGCTATTTGCATGGGATAATGATAAACAGTGTGGTTGAGATAAAACCAGATATAGTGGCATTCGTAGTTGATAAAAGATTTAACATTCTAATAATAGACAGAGCAGTTAGAAGACTGCTCAGAGAAATACAGATAACCAATACTGGCTAACTTATAATGCAGAAGTACATTAATTATAGCGAAAAAAAACCATATCTGATAATAAAGACCAACAAAGAAATATTAGTGATATAGATGAACGATTACAGAGTGAGGCCATTGATGAAATCAGTAAATGATTAATATTTGACTCACGACTGCATGCATCAGTACTTTGATGATAAAACTGGAGATTTCATCATCCTTGACATTAAGAAAAACTTTGCCAAGGAGTCGCGGCAGGTTAGAAAGATCAAAGTTAACTTGCCTAAAGTAAAAGAGTGACAGTTATTCGATTAGTAGTAATTATTTGATAATAGATAAATTTAAGGGAATGAAAGTACTAAAACTTACAACTAAACTTTAATGATTTTAAATGTACTAATTCCTTAATTTAATAAAAGCGTTTTGTCACACTATCAACACCATTACCCTATCTCATGGGGTTTTGGGGTTTTGGGGTTTTGGGG